CATTGCAGCACAGCTGACAATCCCAGGAGTTCACCTGAGCTGGGAAGGCTCAGAGGTCACCTCCATGCTGGGCTGTTGGGTACAGGGTGGGACCCTGGCACCCAGCAGTGCTGGCTGCTGCCACAGCCTGGGATTCAGAGGTCTCAGCCCAAGTGGGGATGACTGGAACAGCCTTTTAATAGGAGCACTCTGCAACTTGCTTTAGCATTCAACGAGGTTTTACGAGTTTGGGATGATGTTTCTTTTATGTAGCTCAAGTGGGCCAAAACGTGGAGCCCTGCCCTGCAGTTGCAGATAAGAAAATGACAGGATCCCCAGAGGAACAGCTGTATAGCATCCTAAAACCTCTGCCTCTAAATTTCTGACTTAGAATTGTCCCCACTAAACATAATACATGCCAAGTAATTTAATCCAGTTTGGTGTTTGCAGACAGATAGTGCATATCTTTTAAATAATTCTACATTCTTTCCTTGAAATCCTGGATTTCATGTGAATTTTAGCCTGGGGATTAGGGAGGCTCCTCTCAGATGCAATGGGTGAGTGCAGCATCTATGTAACTAGGTCACGGTGTACTTAGGAATATTTAGTTATCTGTTCTTGTGTTCTTCCCTACTTTAGTGGCACAATAAACAAAAGAGGGAATGAAGATGGATTTGTTATCTCCTCTCCTAGGATGGCAGAAGAGATTTCATTGTGGAGTTTTTTTGCTACATTTTCTAACAATGTTTGTGATTTTTCTTTTTTTTTTTCATTTTGCATTTTGTAAGCAATGAAGTGCAGGAATTAAATGCTTCCCTTCTTTTCATCAGACCACGATAAACAGGAATATGCAAAGGATTCAAGATGATGATCCAGAAAGAGCAAGAAATTGCATTTCTTTCCTTTCCCCACAGAGTGTCCCCATTTCACTGTTCGTTGCTCAACAGGCGACCACCTCTGACTAGGCAGAAGTCCATTTTGCAGAGAAGCCTACAAAGGTTACCCAAGCATGTGTTTGTCCCTTTCCAAAAGGTATTGTATTGCAGTGGACAAGGCAAACTGAAAGTTCCCTTTTACTTATCAGAGAGATTTTATCTGTCTTGGTGACTTGAAGATCAAATGAGGTTTTTTAATGCATATACACACACACTGGATTGCCTGTCAAAACTTTTGTTCTTTGGTGTATATATAGCTGTAAATACAATAATTAAACTTAAGTTCCTACATAATCAATATCATCTTTATATTTTAATTCTTTAGGTACTAATTAATTTTGATATATTGGATATAAAACTTTATAATTTAAAAGTAATGGAAAATTGTAGGTTTTAACTTTATAAGTCTTCTGTTGTCGGCAGGAGTAACTAAATGCATGAAAGCTGCTTTTTCTGAGATACTTCAGCATATACATGTTTCAGATGTAAGCTGAAAAAATAAATATGCACCCAAAAAAAATCAATTAGTCTCACTAGGTTTCATAATTAAGAGCTTGCTTTGAACTTTAAAAATCTTTTTCGAGTATAGATATGACACTAGAGTGGCCTTTGTACAGCTGAGACATTTTTTGATCAGTTCACTAATAACTTGTCTTGCAAAGCTTAGAAAAATGTGTTTCATCAACCAGTGATTTGCAATGTGACTAGACAAAGGCATGATCATTGTCAGACTTGTGTCATATGGAAGAAAACTAATGTAATGGGCTACAGATAAAATCTTACATTCTTTCATGGATCAATTAATAAGCCAATGTATTTTGTGCTTTTTTCCTACAAACAGTTTTGTATTCATTTCAGATTGAAGTTAAAACATGAATAAACAATTAATTAGATTCTGTTTTGTATTTTGTACTTTATATTATGTGGCTAAGTGGCTAGTGCAGAAGTTTAGACAGTCCTAATTTTTGCTGATTAAAAGCAGAAACAAAACAGATGTGTGCTGGTGGGGCCTGGTTTGCATCACCAGAACAGATGCAGCATTCAGCAGCAGGCAGAGCAGTTTGCACTGAAATGGCTTCAGTGACTCATGCTCGAAGAGTTTCAGTTACAGCTACAGCCCAGTCAGGTCGGCAGAGATGCTCTGCTCCTGACAGACCCAGACCTGCTTAACACATTTTGCCAGAGTAGTATCAGCTGCATAGCCAGCCAGGCTAAAAAAGCATAAAAAGCACATCTCAGTGTAACTTATAAACATGCACGTGTTCAGTTCTACTACCAACAAAGGGAGGTGTGGAGGAGGAGAACAAATGTGTCTGGAGCAGGGGTGTAACTCCAGCAAAACAGCAAACCCAGATTTTTGGTATTGTCTCAGACCTGACAGAAACTCCCTCCAGCCTTGATAAACAGTCCTGTTTATCACACTGGTGCTGTGAAACATATAAAAGGTTGTAGAATTAGCACTTAAATTTGTTTAACATGAAAAGAGGCCTTTTAGAAAAATGAATTATTGTATTTTTTCCCTCATAGCAAGTGATAGACTTGCTATGGGATAGACTCTACTGATGCTGGAATACTGCTACAAGCTAAGACTATTGAAATCTAAATTTCCTTAAATGTGTCCCTTTTTTCCAGAAGAAAATTATTTCAGAATGACAACATCATTACAGTTCAAAAGGACTTTGGAAGTCTTGCCTTTGAGTCCAGCATCTTGCATAAAGCAAGTCTAATGCTGAACTTGGACCAGGTAATTCTGGGGTTTGCCCCGTTGGAAGCTCGTTTCAAATTATGAGTCTAATTTTTTTGTCACACTTTTCTGTGAAGAGCTTTGTCTCTCTTTTCTTGGTAACTTCCACTTAGGTGTTGGAAAGTTGCTAACTAGCTATCCCTAAGTCTTCTTAATTAATGGCAGCTTTTGAGAGAAAGAAATGTTGGAGTAATTTTAAGGCCAACCAATGAGCAGTGAGGCTTATCAGGTGGTGAATTGTGTGTCATAATGAGAACTTCTGTAGATTTTGGGGAAATATTTGGGATGCTGGTGTAGCAGGCACCTGAGCCAGTGAATTAGTTCCTTTCAGAGACCACATCAGCCATTTCCAATGAGAGTTTAGAAGTGAGTCCAACAGGATTCCCACAGATTGCTCACAAAAGACCTGAGCCAGTTAAAAGCTGAATTTGGATGAACAGCAAAACAGACATAATTTTTTGCAAGTAGAGCACTGGGTTAAATCTGAATTCCCAGCTCCCATTTCTGATGCAGACAATGTCCCCGTAGGAATCTTCACAGGCTCGGTGACATCAATCTGCGCATCCATAATTACAGTCTACATGCCATTACACGGCAGCCGTGCACAAAGCTCCTGCAGCCCTGGGAGAACCAGCCGGGCCTGCAGCAAGCTCTGTCACAGAAAATGCAAATCTTTTCACAGATAAGGCACATCTTCCTCCAAATATAGACAAGCTCACACCCACCTTGCTAATATTCTGTTCAGTAAGATTACACAGAATCAAGCAGCACATCCCATGAGAATACTGGCGGTGTGCTGTACTTTGAGGTACATGCATCTGGGATCGCTGCAAAGTAAGAGACTGTGGACAAATAAAAATGATGTCTAGGGAAGGACAGAAATCAACATAAATTGAATTACTTTCTCCACTTTACTTTTACATTTTGTATAACTAAGTAATAGCCATACCAATATCTTAAGGTTACATTCTTACATGAATGTAACCTTTTCCCCTCAGAAAAAGTGTTTCAAATACTGGAAAAGTATCAACTATCCATCTAACAAGAAGGTACATAAAGAAATAGCACTGACAAGTATTTCGAAGTCAGGCATGTAAGCAAACCCCTTACTGTACAGCTGGGCATTTTTTATCCGTATAGGGAGAATAAATCTTTATTCAAATGGTACTTTTAATGCAGTTGATTAACAATTTTGATCTAGATCAAGAACTGCATACCTAACACCTCTAAAATGCAGCCACTTCAGAAGATGGGAAACTGAGGCAGAATGTGTTTGCACAAGATTACACCGACACCGGCAGCGATTTATCTGTCCCGTGTGTTTTAAGGGTTCGGCAGAGTTTACCGACGCCACGAGGGCACCGGCTGGGCCCAGTGGTTTGTGCGGTACCCCCAGGCTGGTGACCCGGCCGGCGGGTGACACCGGGTGTGGGGAGCCCCTCCGTGCGGAAGGTCCCCCCGCCTGCCCGGGAGCCGCCGGAGCGCGGTGCTCCAGCGCTTTAACACCCCCCCAGCGTGGGCAGGAGAACGGGAGCCGCAGCCCGGAGGCGGGAAGCAGGCGTGAGGCACGTGCCGCACCGGAGCCGCACCGTGGAGCCCCTGACGGCCCCGGAGGCGGTCCCGGCCAGCGTCCCCCCCCGCACGGCGGTCGAGGCGGCCTCTGCCCCCTCCTGCCGCGGCTCCCGCGCTCACGGGCGCTGCCAGCCCCGGCCCGCCCCGCGGCTGTCCCGCGGCCGGACCGAGTCCCGGCGGTGCCCGAGCGGAGGGTGGAGGCGCCGGCGGAGCCGCCCCAGCGCGGCGCCTTTGTTCCGAGCGGCGGCGCGGCCGGGCCCCGGAGTCCCGCCGCGCTCATGGCGGGAGCAGGGCGAGCCCCGCGGAGCGCCCCGCGGCCGCTGCCGCCCCTGCGCGCCCGGGAGCCGGCGGGCAGCGGGGGCTCGGCGCGCTGAGCGGCGCCGTGTCCGGCGGGGGCGCTGCGCGGGGCCCGGCAGCCCCGGCGGCGGGGGCCGGGCGAGGCGGGCGCCTGCAGCCTGCGGGGGCCCTGGCCGGCGCGGCTCGGCGCTCCGCGGACCCCCGGGCGGCCTCCGCGCAGCGGCGCTCCGCTCGCCGGACCCCGCCTGGCCTGGCCCCCGCCGCGGGCTGTAGCGGAGCCCTCCCGCGCCCAAACTTTGCAAAGTCTCGTAGCTCCGCTGCTGGGGCGGCGGCGGCGAGGGCAGCGGCGGGCGGGGGCGGCGGCGGAGGAGGCGGGGGCGGAGGGGGCGGGGTGCGGGCCGGCGGCGGCGGCGGCAGCAGCATCAAAGAGCCCCGATTCTTGCCGCCCTGGGAGCCATGCGCTGCTGTCTGTAATGTCAGCGGAACAGGAGAAGGACCCCATCGCGCTGAAGAGATCCCGAGGTACGGCGAGGGCTGGGCCGGGCTCGGGGGCGGCCGCCGCTGGGGCCTGGCTCCCGTGCGGAGCGCCGGCGGAGCCGCGGGATGCGCGCACCGCCCGCGCCGCCGCTGCCCGCCGGGCTCCCCGCGCAGCGCAGCGCGGGCCGGGCCGCCCCCGCCGCGGTCCCTCCCTGCGGCTGCGGCGGGGCCGGCGGTGCGGGGGCCGCTCGAAGTTTGGTCGGTGGGGCCCGGCCGGGCCCCGCGGGCTCCCGCAGCCTGCGGGCCCTGAAAAGCAGCCCCGGGGCTCGCCGTGCGCGCAGGTGTGCCCCGCGGGGGAGGGCGGCGTGCGGTCCTGTCTCTTGTGTGTCTGGGGATGTGCAGCGCATTAGTATGCAGCGAGCATACTGCTGGTGCAAGGGAATACGGCGGCAGTGCCACATGTCCGAGTTCGTGCTGATGCAGAGCCCATAAATTACACTTGAGTGTTCGCTCTTCTGCCCCCAGTCCTGGCTCCTGTGCTTGAGTGTAGTTGGGGTTTTGTCTTTCCCTTTTCGGGAAATGAAAAAAGAAAAAAATCGAAATATTATTTCTTTACTAATAGCCCTGGTGTATGGCTCTGGTGAGGTTTGAGGTATGCGTTTCTTTCAAAGGAGTAGGGAGAAGGGCAGAAATGCAGGGTCTCCTCCGACTTCGGCAGTGCAGCTGACTTTAATGGCAGTGGCACATCAGCCTTCGTAGCGATTGTTGTGTCCTTATAGTCCTTAGACACAGAAATGCCTCTCTGAATGAAATAATCAAAGACAGCAGGATGGGTGACTGACTTGGGTGAAAATCATGGCAAAATTATAAAATTTGCAGTTTAGTGCTTCCTGTTTTCTTGCCTCCTGTTTTGCCCCTGGAATTCTATTGTTCTTGGTGTTTTAAGCTTTTTTTTCTGGTTGGATAAGTGGGAAAAGGTGTGGATTCCACGGTGCATATTGTCATTGATTTACAGTTTGCTTTTCTAAAACTGCTATAGTAACAGCTGGATTGCAAGCTTGAAAATGAGAGAATGAAGACACACAGCAGTGTTACAAAGGAGACTGGGATTCATTAGACTCCTCCACTCTCAAGCCCTGATTCTGCAAATATTAAAGCATATATGGTTTCACATGCCAGAGTTACCCACTGAGTTCCACCTGATTACAGCTTATTATCAAAACTGTTTACAGTCTCAGGGCCACAGAACAGGCTCACCAAATTTGGTTGAAATGAGACTATTTTTAGTTTTCTGCCTCTAATGAAAAGTTTATTCAGCCATTCATGTTTCTTGGGAAAATGTTCTTACTGAGATAAAGTAGTAAAAACCTAGACTGAGATTTGTCAGTGAATATGAAAATATTCCATGCTGTATTTGCAGTATGTTAAGTATGGCATAAATTACATGCAAAGTAAAAATCCCTTAATGTGTAAACCAAACTACAACTTGCAGTTCTCCTAACCAACACTGAAAATGCCCATCTTAGGTATGTACGAAGTAAAAGAGAATATGAGGCTTATCTCTTCTCCTTTGCATAAGTGTGAATGGCTGAAATTAATTTTATCTGTACTTTAATAGTGGAATAGTTATCAGATATGTATTTGTATCTTTAGATCCATGAGATAGGTGATGTCCCAGTCAAAAGGATTGTATTTTTGCCCAAAAAATTAGTCTTGGACAATGAATAATTTTTCATTAGTTCAGCATTCCAAAATGCTTGGTAGTCCTTTAATGAAAGTCTGTGTGGTAGGTACCAAAAGTGACTTTGTGGAAAGTTTATTTTGGCTTCATGAAAATGAGCCTTATTCACTCTTTTTTTGGAGGTATGCTAGGACTAACATTCTGTTTCCTTTCATGTATAAATTAAATCATTATAGAGCCCACAGGGAAAATATAAATTCTTAGGGCTGAATGAAATCATTGGCCTCACACAGTGAGAAGTGAAAATACAAAAGCTTTGTGCCTTTCCAGACACAGGACTCCCTTCTGTAAACCAAGGCATGTGAATGGCTTTGCTGATGAAAGTAATTCAGGTAGAAATTGATGGAACTTGTCACTGGAATTCTCATGTTCATATGCTGATGCTTTTGAAGAATGATGTCCCAGAGAGGGAATTTCTATGGAGTTTTGTAAAGTCTTAACTTCAGCTACTGTAAACCAGCACTTGTGTACGACCCTAAGTATTCTACTTGATCACAAATTTACTGATGTCTGTGCTGCTATTGTTGAATTTATTAAAAGAAATCTGGATATTTGGAATATTTTGCTGTCAGTAGTTAACATCAATTATTTTTTAAGAGTACAAGGACATGAAAAGGAGTGTCATTTATGCAGTTGTGAGGATTAGTGTTCACAGTGCAATCTTACACTAAATTTAGTATAAACTTATAGGAATGCTGGAGAAGAAGCTTATGGAAAGTACAGGAACAGTTTTGAGAAAATAGATTATAAAGAAGATGATTTATAGATTTGAAATTGAGGGAAAATTTGCCATCATTTTTTATGTAAAACCTTATGCTGTAGTCATTTAGTATCTACAGGTAATGTAGTGGCAATGCTTCATAGCACACTTAGTATGTGCAGGATTTTATCTTCTAAATCAAGGCTAAAAGGTCTCTTTTTAAAGAGTAATCCCTAGTTTCTCTGATTGTACCTTAGACCACAATATGCTATGTGCAAGCCTGAATTTATTTTGAGACCTTGATTGTGACATCATGCCCTTGTCTTTGAAATTCAGACTTAAAATTTGATAGGTGTTGATCTGGGATGTCCATGTATCTTCTTTATGTGTAATGAAAAATAAAATCAAATTTTAACAGTGATAGCTAGAGCCAAAAGGAACTTAGTAAAGCAGAGGCAGAACTGGATTCTTACTTGAAGTAAATTCCCTGAAACCTCCAAAAAAAAAGAAAAAAAAAAAGGAGGCGTGGAGGAAGTGCTGGGAGTGAAAATTTTCAGGCCTCCTTGGTCAGGAGTATTTCAAATAACTTGGATATTTTGGTCTGTGTACAGTAGGACTGCTGCTTCCCTGTGAGAAGAGATTTTGTGTTATGTTGCTGAATATTCCTAAAGCTGGCTTACCTGTCTGCTGGGAACACTTGTCTAACAGAGCAATGTAATGTCATACATTGTGCTGCTTTGCATAACACTGTTGATAATTCACAGTTATCTCCAGGTTGTCTTTGGTAATGAGGACCTGTGTGTTCAGCTGGATGCTTGCATCTTGATAAAGTTTGACTCATATTCTGAATATAAATTTTAAACAAACAACAGTAAAATTTTTAGGTTGGATTGCCTGCTTACTGTTCTGTGCTGTTACTATATATTTATATAAAAGAGCAAATAAGCTATTATCCTAATGGGCCTGGGGAAAAAAAGAATTAATATGGTTTCTTAATATAATGATGTTAGTACTTGAACATGTGTACATGTGTTGCTCTGGTATCACCTGAAAATGCTTCTCATACTTCAGCTCAGGGTTTTCTTTGCATTCCCATATTGTGGCAATTTCACTTGAGCCTGTGAAGACAGACTGACTGGGATAATAATGAGATTGCCATTTTTATTTTTCACTGATGGTCTAGCTAGGGTTTTAAAATGGAAGCCACGATTTATACAAATTTCAGAGCTTGTCCCACTGTTGTGAAAGGTGGAGAATCCCAGGGGAAGTACAGATATCTCTTTGTATTGCTCAGGGTGAAATCTGATTGAGCAACCAGTGAAATGAACATTCCTTACCTTTTTTTGTGCCAGGATAGACTTGCTCAGTTATTTTATAACATTTCCACAGAGGTGAGCTGGTTCACTTATTATTGGCAGGCATCTTTTTGTTTGATCAAGTCTTGCATTTAGTGAAATTTAGATTTGATGCACTGGAGATTAGTCTAAACAACATGGCAAGTTTTCAATGGTTTTTGTTTATGGATCTACTACTGTTTGCTTTTCTTTTCCTTCATGGTGGATTGTAACAATCTGTTGTATATTGTTACACTGATGCAGTGTCTATGTGAGTTAAGAGGTGAGTCTTAGACATGGCTTTTTGCAGTTCTTTTGAAAGTTTTATGATTTATGCAAACAAGAAATACTTCTAACTGGTGATGTGGAGATGTTAAGAATCAAGGGGCAGATAAAAATAAAATAAATGGAAATGTTTATTTCAATAAGAATGAGCATGAATGGGACATGAAAGTGGTAGCAGACAGGTATAGGAGGGATGTTAGCTTACCTCCAGATGTGTGCTCCTTTAGCACTTGCAACACAAGGCACCAGAGTCAATGCAAATTCAGTATTTGTAACAGGTATCTGAGGCTATGGTAGTTAAAGGCAAGCTTACAATACAGTCTGCAATATAATTCATGTACTACTACACTGATTGATATCTTGTAGGTGGTGACAGTGGATTGGATGGGTTAGGAGGACCAGGAGTTCAGCTTGGGAGCCCTGATAAGAAAAAGCGCAAAGCGAATACACAGGTAAATTCCCTTTGCTTCTTTTGAATTCTTAATAAACTCAAATGTTGTTTGCTGGTATGAGTAGCTCTCATTGTTCAGAATATCAATTTCTTGTCACAAATAGCAGCTACATACCAAGTATTTCAGTTTTACTTTGAAGTTGAAATCTTCCTGAATACTAGTATTTGTACTGAAGTTATTTTAATCCCTGTAAGTTGCCAAAAACATATAAAGAGAGGAGCACAGTGAGAGTGCAACAACTGGGATTTTCCCCATAGGGATTTGATTCTGAGGCAGACTTTTTTTTAATGACTTTGTAGCCATTGGTAGAAATCCATACAGTGTGAATAGTTGCCATGAGACTACTTCTTACCTTACTTTCATTCCTGTATGTGTAGGTTTGTGGGCTAATGAATCAGTACATTTGTTAATGCTTTGACCAAGCTCTTGGCATACTCCCCAGGTGATTTCCAAGCAAAAGCTAAATCAGGCAGAGCTCCTTTCCAGTGAATCCTTGCAATGTGATGTTTCTATGCAGTTGTTCTTTCCAGAAAAGAAAGCCTCAATACAAAATATCTTAAGCAGTTGGGTATCTATAGTGCCGAGTTTTCCTTTGTGTGTTCATTCAGCTTTGAGTGAGAGTATCTGTTAATTTGGCACTGCCCAGTGGGAATACCTTTATTTATGTAGGTAAAACAATCACTTTCTGTTAGGCCTATGCAGAGTCCATTGAGATATGGATCTGTTTTCTTCATTTCTGTTTTGTTTTGTTTTAAACTAGTCACACTGAACCTTGCTCTGAGAAATATTCCATTACTTTACAAGGCTTCACACCTCTTTTTTTACTGGAGTTTCCTTGTGTTCTGGAATGGTAATAATTCTAGAGGACATGCAGATTAGCTTGTGTTCCTTCTGACCAGGTTAAAATTTGCAATGCAGCATTTTTTTTTAAATAAATTTTCAGTCTTAGTTCATTAGTACTTAGAAGGAAGTGCTTTCTGTGAGCACAGTTAGTGTGAGGGTGAACCCAGCAGGTGTTCCCTACAGGCTAATCTAGAATGAATTTCAATTGTATGACTGCACTGGTGACATTTAAACAGACTCTGGGCTCCATTAAACACTTGATTATGCTCTGTAACCAGAGCATAATCCTGGTGTTTCATACCTACTGCCTATGCTTTGCAGACTGTCCACAATCACTGAATGCTGTTTGGTATAGAAATGTACAGCACAGAATATTCCACAGGCTATAGAGAATACCAGTCTGCTGACTCCTATATTCTAAATGCCTTTTTTATGGTTACAGCACCATTAGCTTTGTATATCTTCATGGAAGTGGGGTGTCTTATGAGATGTATATTCAGTAACATGAACCCAAAATGAAGTTAGGGAAATGCTTCAAATGTGCTCTTCAACATTTGGAAATACTTTCTGTATGGGTTTGTGACAGTTGGATTTCTATATTGTTGCTTGTCTTTTGTAAAAGATTATGAAATAGAAGTCACATATCAAGTAGTATTTTTAACTGCAAACTTTTTAAAACTCTGAAACTACTATAAATCACTACATTATCTGGAGCTCAAGCTCCTCTCCTGCCTCTGAAATTTCAGACAGCCTGGCAGGGTACAGTGGGTGAATTTTACACAACAGCTGAACAGTTCTTTCAGCAGTTGTATTGCTAATCCAGAGCCTTTGTGGTTGGTCTGTCTTGCAGGGAAATACTAAAACTAATTCAAGTGTTGTATTTAAAATATTTGTAGGGGTCGTCATTTCCTCCTCCATCTGAATATGCTCCACCACCGAACCCAAGCTCTGACCACCTTGTAGCTGCAAATCCATTTGATGACAACTATAATACTGTGTCTTATAAACCACTTCCTTCAGGAAATCCATATTTTAGTAATCCTGGTTATCCTGGCTTTGGAGGCTATAACACTTTCAGAATGCCACCTCACATGCTGCCCAGAGTGTCCTCACCATATGGTGGTTCTTACTCCCTCAGAAACCAGCCACATCCTCTTCCTCAAAACCCTGTTGGCATGGGTTTTAGTCGACCCCACTCTTTCAGCTTTGGTCCTCATGATAACCCAGGTTTTGGGAATCAACCACCTTATGGCAGTGGTCAGATAAATCAAAATGTCAATATGTCTGCTCAGCATTTCAGACCAAATCCTGGGGAGAACTTTGGCCATTCTGGTCAGATACCTCACCCTGATGTGCCAACTAACTTTGGTCCTGGAAACAATCCAAATTTTCCAAATTCTCAGCTAGAGTCAAACCATTCTTTTGTTCCTCCACCAAACACGTACAACCAGACAAAATCATCAGCACAAAAGCAAGACTTTAGTCAAGGTGCAAGCAAAGCATCCAGCCAGAGCACTGCTGCTCATCAGCATCATCACAGGACAGAGGACGTTGTGAGCCAAGGTAACAGCGACCTGAAAAACGTTACTCGAAACAATGTGGTGAACCAGGATAACAGCCATTCTAACAGTGCTGAGAACACCAATGCTGGCCACTCAAATGGGACCCAGAGCAAGTCCCGCCAGCCTCGAGGTACTGCTGAAGGGTGCAACTCTGAAAAGAGCAGCAAAACCCCCCTCCATCCCAGTCGTCACGGCCACTCGTCCTCTGAGCCCGTGTACCCGTGTGGGATTTGTACACATGAAGTCAATGATGACCAGGATGCCATCCTGTGCGAAGCCTCTTGTCAGAAATGGTTCCACCGGATCTGTACAGGCATGACAGAGTCGGCCTATGGGCTCCTGACGGCAGAGGCATCGGCAGTGTGGGGCTGTGACACGTGCATGGCTGACAAGGACGTGCAGTTAATGCGCACCAGGGACACTGCAGGGCCACCTGCACTCAACACAGAGGGCTGACAGCCTCAATGGCTGCTAGTGGAGCAAATACTTGCTAGGAAAATTCGGTTACAAATTGGGTACTTCACTTTCTGCAGACAATCAGTTGTGTTTGATTGCTGTCATCTTTTTTCCCCCTAATCTGTATTCATTCATAAACTTCCATCTCAGCTTTTGTACTCTTAGTTTTATGCGTGCAAATGTTTTACAGGATGGAATATTTTTTGTTTCTGATAAAACTGTAACTGACAATTGATCGGAAGTAGGATGAGCATTGACAATATTATTGAAGGAAAAAAATGTGCCTGTATGAATAGCCCTAATTTGCTAGTGTATATTAATGTGTTAACTAACACTAGCATTTAGTGCTTGGTTTTAATGGTACTATATTTGCAAGTACTCATTACTTTGTTTTTTTTCTTTTGGCGTGAATGTCTGTTATTGATGTTCTTGCTAGCCTTTCTTTGAATATTGTAGAGATGACATGGAGGAATGTGCAGTACTAATAGTTGTTATTTTAGGGTAAATACAGAGAATTTTGTATGTGCTTTTTCCTATTTTTGAAGTAAAGCATTAATGTGCTATTCAAAAATCATGAATTCATGCTTAGTAACACAATGAAACCCTCTAACTATTACACATTTCTGTTTCCTTGAAAAGGCAATAATCTCTTGACTTCTCAGCAATTACATGCGGAAGGCTCTTGCTAGGCCTTGCATTATTTGGAAATTGTTGTGAAATAAGATTAAATTGGAAGAAGAACACATTTATGAAGTCCACTGCTTTAAATCTAGAGAATGCCAGAAGTAGAGTTGCACATGTAACCTTCATTCATCTATCTTGAGGACATACCTTGGGATGCAGTCTTTGCTCTGTCACGCTTGTGCAGTCATGCACCTCTCTCTCATTCTTTCTCACTGATGGTTCCAGTCTCCTGCCTCAGTGCTGCCTGAGGATTGGGGATGAAGTAGTGCACAGAAAATCCTGCCCAGCTCCTAGGGCTGTCAGCTCCAGCCTGCTCAGTCACCCTGAGCTTACACAGCCCACTTGGCATGAAGGAGGGGGCAAGGCAATGGAGTGTGCTCTCTGAATTGCTTGATAATTTGGCTAGCAAAGTCTTAAATCTAAATTCCCACCACTGCCTCAGCCAGTCTTGCAGTGAGGGGGTAGGAAATCTAAGGTGAAGAAAGAAAATACAGCTGTCATATCAGGTGAGTTTAGCTCACATCAGAACTAAGTAATCAGAAGTTTAGCTCCTTTGCTAAACCTGATATCCTCCTGACAAGTATGCATGGCACTAGAGCTTCATGTGTGATGCTAAGAAATTCTCTTTTAATAAGGGTAATTTGATCCTATTCTTGATCTCAAAAATAACTCCCCTTCTTTTTTGAATGTTGGGAAGCATCTAGCCTTGAACAGTTCAGCCTTAGCAGTGTGATGAAGTTGCACATGCAACTGAAAACGTTTCTTTTGAAAGAAATATTGTTTGGAATTAATAAAAGGAGGCACTGTGATAACAGATTCTGCTTGGAATATGTACCACTGTACTGGAAACAGTCTTTAAACAGCAATTAAATCATATGCCAAGCTCACAGGTACTAGTCATGTTCCTTAATGTGATAAATTTTTCAGGTCTGTGAGTGATGAGTGATATAGGAGTTTATAGAGAATTCAGTCATCTAATAAAGAGGTAGTTTTCATGGTAAGCCATGCTAATGAGTGAAAGTAAGGCCTATTTGATAGTTCACCATTGTGTTTGATTTTAAATGGGCTCTACTGTGTACATTCCTGGAAGATCCTGTGCAGATCTACACAACTTGTTTTATTTTAAAAGTGAAAAGTTTTGCTGTGTAAGTGCAGTATTACCCTGCTGGTTTTTTTGGTGGGGTGGTTTTGTTTGGTTGGTTTTTTTGTTTTTTGTTTGTTTTGGTTGGGTTGTGGGTTTTTGTTTCTGGTTTTGGTTTTTGGTCTTTTTTTTTTGTTTTTTGTGTTCCTCTCATCAGGAAAAAGAAAATGATATCTAGAGTGTAAGTGACATATTTTATATCTTGAGAATTTTCCTGTATGGAGATGTGAAGTGTAAGATAGATCCAGAGCTGCTGTTTTCATCAGTAGTTGCTTTAATTTAGTACATTAACTAGACTTAATCTTGTTTTGTTAGAGGTGTGATTTTAAAACCACCAAGAAAAAACCAAACAAGCAACAACATCTGTTAAAGAGATTTATTCTTCAGTAGTGCTCCTAATGACTGACAGACTGTTTGAAGTTGCTTTTGCTGCCTGAAGTAGCAGTTAAACCAAACCTTGTTCAGATAGATTTGTTCCTCTAGGAATCAGTTTAATCTCTGCAACAATTAGCACTGTGAACATAATGGAGCTGGTTCACACCTACAGTAATGTAAGTGAAATCAGAATTTTGCTCAGTGAAAATTCAACCAAAGCTCCAGTGATGATATTATTACCTTTCCCACTCCCACACCCCATGCCTCTTGTGAGAAGATTTTGGGGCATTTCTTCTCAGAAATCTAATTCATGTTTTGACAGTTGGAGCAGACATTGTATTTAAAATAACCATGTATTTCTTAATCTTTTCCTCAACCCAACATGAAGTTAGGCAACTATTTTCTAGATTAGCTGTCAGGACATTAGTATTTAAACATAGTGTTCCTAAATACTTAAAATCATCTGGAATATCATTTTATAAGGCCTTAAATTGTGGATTTATGAAACTTATTCTAACCATTTATTTTAGATTTTTTCTAAACTGGTATTCTATTGGGTTTGTAACCCAGTAAATTTTCCTCATTTATTAACTTGTAAGTTCAAGGCATTAGCAAATGTCAATGATGTGAAATAAAAACAAATGAACAACCGACTCCACACTTGTTAGGACAGTCATGTTAGAGATAGGACTGACAAGGATCTCCAGAAGTCATCCAGCCAATATGCTTGCCCTACTGATTTGCTCTTGGCATACTTGAACTCTTTGTCTAGAGAGCAGTTATATTTTGGTTTTCTCTGCATGTGTTGACTAAGTAGTAGTTCAAGTATGCACAGGAGAAACAGCAATCATGTTTAATTAGTGAGGTACTAGGAAAATGTCAGCTGATTAGCATTAGAAGTTAGTTCTAGAATGAGGGGTGGGAGGGAGGGAGGGCTGGCTAGAATAGGTGAGGTTTTTGTAATACATGAAACAATTTGTATTGAACTCTCATGTGCTTCTTTCATTACTGGTGATTTAGATTGTACTGGTGCTGCACACCAAAAATATTGCAAAGATTTTGTAAATCTTGCAAACCTTAACATTTTTGTGGGAAATGCCTGTGTCCTTTTACATGGTTTCTGGTCATGATCAGAAATGCAGCCTTATATTGCTCCCAAATTTTTTTCCCGCTCAGGCTGAAATAGACAGGTATAAATTGGATTGTGCTGTCCTTAATACTTTTTTGCTAGTGACCAATTTTAAATGAGAAAACATGGAAGGGACAGTGCTGGATACAGACCAGAGGGCAGGTAGCAAAAATCCTGTTTCTTCCTGTTTTACTCATTCCCTCTACAACTTGAAACTAGCAGGTTTGTGCTTGTCTCTTCTGGAAGAAGATGGGAGTGATGCTTACTTCCAAAGGTTGTTTAGAGGCCTAGTTTTTATTTGAGGTCTTCTGATGAAAGAAGCTAGAGAAAAGTAATGAAGTTTGCTCTACTTAAAAGAAAACTATAATTTTGGGGGCTGCTCAAAGAAGATTGTACTTTGTGACCTCTGAAGTTTTTAATCTAAGAACCAGTTTTGTAATCACATTTTTCAGGCTTAATTTCAAGCATGTGACAATTAATGAAGTCGGTGAAACTGCATGCACACAGTCAAGAATGTTTTAAAGTGTTTGCAGTTTGGGGCCTGTGATATTTGCAAGTGAAATGCTTATATGGTTTGAGATTTTTACAAAATCAGTGGTGTTAAAATGTAGCACCTTTTTAACATTTGTCTTTATTCCAGCTTAATACAGTAACACATCTGCATTAAATATATCCTTCTCATTTTATAAATAAGCATTGCCTGTCAGTAAAAGTATTGGTGTAACATTTTTAAGAAAAGGAAGTCATGCTTCTTATCATGTTGTATGTGACTTAAATGACTGTTTCATATTAAAACTAATCTTTCCTTATGTACTGCTTAAATATACCTGTTTTGGGATATCAGTTCAGTACTTTTTATACAATCTTGAATGTGTTCCACATTGGTGACATGTATTTTTGCAACAACTTTTTTGTTTTGATTTTAAATTAGAGCATGTCTGATGTAATACATGCATTAGTGCTGTGGTGTGTGACAAAGTTAATGTATGTAATTCAAATTGGAAAAGTTTCCAGACTTTGTCCAACATTAACCCTGTGGCCAGGGATTAAATTACTATGTAATACAAATTATTTCATACCATGATGTGTTTTAAGCTACTCTATGAAGTATGTGAAACATTATTGTTTATGGATTGGTAGCTGGTGAGGTGTCTTGCATAGAATGAGGTATGATAGATGGTAGCAGTTAATAATTAAAACTGAGTACCTTTCAGAACACACAGCACTGATATGCATTATCATCTTGTTGACATTACTTAATATGAATTTCTTAATATTATCCACTGATAAATGGGTGAACATTTGGTAATCAGCTCTTGTGTGTGAAAATTCTATTCTAACACTCTTTACTTGTTTCACAAAACATATAATTTTTTGTTTGTTTAGAAGGCATATAATTTTTTTGTCTATTGGATGTGATTAGATATATGCAGGAGGATGTAGAGCTGGATGTATTTTAAAGTTATTCTGCAGTTGCTAAGTTTTGGCAGAAGCTTTCTATATTAGAATAGACTCTTCCCTAAAATTGGAAACTAAGTGTACTTAGCAGAACTCTTTAAGGCAATATAAATATCCTACACTACATCTTGAGTTATGCACATTCACTTCTTTATGTGGAAGTGATAACTTCTGCTTTCTATAGAAGAAAAGAAAGGTCCCTTTAGTGGCCTAGTGCTGTGTGTCACCAGTTCTGGGGTAATTAGTTCTGAGTGGTGTTCAGGCCCTCAGAGTGCTGCCTCTAGCTTGAAGTTTTCAGTGTTACCCTTTGTCTCCTGGTTTAGAAATGGCTTATCCCAGCACCATGGGGAATAACTATTTCTGCATTGTTTACCATACATAATTTTCCTTTTCATGTTCAAAGAAACTGTTTCAAAATTATTTTTTGCTCCAACCCCACCTTTTTCCTTGGAGATTTGTGCACTGTATTTCAGGAATTGCTGTACTGGAGACATTTTGGGATTGGAGTTATGAGAGTTGTCTGTTTCTGGACACTCATCTTTTCCTCTACAGAATGGTCTAAATCTGAGCTCCCTTATAACTTAAGGAGGGCAAGCTCTTAATATATCATTTTTTCTTTTTGTTTTTCTTTCTTGATAGTTTCTTTTCTTTCTGAAATGTGAAATTATACAAAGTTGTTAGGGATTTTTATTCAAAACTTGGTCTTTCCTCCAAGCTTGTGTTTGTGGCCTTTAGAGCAGGCACTGTGGTCTTTAGGGCCTTCTGACTTGGAATTTTTTGTCCACCTTCTCCTTTTAGAATTAAAAGTGAGTAGAAAAAGGCAAGTTACCAATCTACTGCCATCCAAACAATGCAAAATATAAGCTGATTAAGATTGTTGACATTTAATTTTTTTTTGTTAATAATGATGTGATATTTTTACCTTTTAGAAGAACATATATCAGAATCTGATTCAAGTGTTCTTGGAAAATGTATATGGTAGGCTTTGTCCAGCACTGTATGTAACTTTGTTGCTTTCTGTTGTCTAGTTTCAGTTTCTTTTAAAATAAAGATAATTTTTGTGGGGAAGTTGCCTGTGGACTTTCTGCAGATGAAGTAATGCCTAGATGGATGCTTCTCACATTCTGCCTGCGAGAAGGCATTTGGATTAGGTGTAATCCTGCAAGAAGCAGCATGAGGTCATAGGGATCAGAAAATACAGCTCCTGCCTTTCTTGGAGAGCTCCACTGTTCTGTAAAGGTGCTCATCTGCAGTGACTTCAAAGCAGATGGGAAAAGATCTTGTACCTTCAGCCCTATTTCTTCACAGGATGGGAAGGAAGGCTCAAGCACCATTTGTCCAAATAGATTTTTTAAATAACTTTCTGCACTTGGAAAGTGATTATACAAAGAATTATTTATTCCAGTTTATAAAATTATTACTAAGCTCTTCCTTTAGTTAAAATGCCAGAACTAACACATACCAAATCACTGCTTCACCAATAATTTTTAAAAGTAACTGATATAGGTCCCAAGCTACATATGCAAAACAGTTTGTTGAAATAAACAGAGTCTCATAAAATGTTTCTGCTTCTTGTTAAAAATCTGGAGAGATGAGAGAAATGAGAGAGAATTTAGAAAGGATGTGAGGAAAAAAAGGTTAATAATTAAAGGTAAGAAAATGTAAACTATCTAAATGATTTTTCCCCTATATTAAAACTTCTGAAGCCATTAGAAGTGAAATAACCCCAGAAAAGATATATGTGTGTATAGGCAGCTAGAAGGTGCAGAATATTAATAATATTATTAAGGTTTGTCTGGAACATAAATCTGCATCCTTCATGGCACAGGTGATGGGAATTTAGGAATCAGCTTTTCAATGGAAAAATTTCCCTTCTTACACTGCAAACTTTGCATTGCAGACTTTTGACTGATAAAGTTAGTGCCAGCAGAAGAACCACTCTGCATGGGTGTCTCTTGTTTATTTTTCAAGTGTGCCACAGTGAGAGCACAGCAGCTTGTCCAGGTAAGGCTGTGGGGTGGGTGGGACAGAGGTCCTGGTTCTGCACATGCACATCACTTCAAAACCTTTAAGGTTGATCCAAGACCTTGCTGAATCCCTTTTGTGTCCTTTAGCAGCTAAATCTGCTACTTTGACATAAAAACTTGTCAGTGATATTTACTGTTTCTCCTACAAGCCTTGCTTTGCAGATCTAGGCTTTAAGTAAATAGACATTTTGGTTGATGTATGGGAGCTCTTTTGTGTAATTTGAGAAGACTGAATATTGGTAACCATAACTGTGTCTTGTAAAGCATGTATGCATAATATAGTTCTTCTAGCAGGAATAAATAATAAGCTGCTTCATTTCAGTATATTCTCTGTGATTAAACTAAAAATGACACCTGGGTGACCAAGGCAGAAGACCTGCACTCAAAACCTTCGACTTTCTGGATGACTGCAGCTGGAGTGGTAGGAGATTCTGAGTTACTACATTATAGTCATTCTTGTCACTGTCATATTTTCTGAAAAATCCCTTTGCCAGGATTTCTTCTCCTGGGAAAATGAGAAGCCTCAGAGAAAAAACAATATTGTCTCATTTACTTCTCCCTGTTTTGCTGCTTTGGAATGTGGCTGGAGATTGTTTACCAACATGTGCATGTTTGATTGGTTTCATGTGAATTGTTTTTACTTAATGACCAATCACCATCAGCTGTGTCAGACTCTGAGGAGTCAGTCACGAGGTTTTCATCATCATTCTTGTTAAGCCTTCTGTCTGTATCCTTTCTTTAGTATAGTTTTAGTATAGCATTCTTTTAATATAAGTACATAAAATAATAAATCAGCCTTCTGAGAACATGGAGTCAGATTCCTCATCTCTCACCTCATCCTGGGGACCCCAGCAAACTCAACACATTCTAGCTGCTGCTGCTATGTACTTTGAATGTTCTTGGAAAGAGGAATTTAATTCAATTTACAGATTCCAGTCCATGCAAGGATTGTTCCAGATGATACTGATGTGGGTGAGTGAGAGTGGAGAATAACCCAGAAGTAATATGAGCTATGATGGATTTCTTGCTGTTATAAAAAAAAAAGTTATAAATCTCTGCAATACCTACTTTTATATATAAACAGCACTTAAAAGTAACCTCTATTATTTGAATATTGCTGTGTATTATACGTAATAGAACATAAAAATTAAATCTTAACATAAAAATTAAATCTTCAGTGATACACATTAGAAATACTAACTAATGTGAGCCATGTGAACTCCATTACTCTTGGTCTCATTTGAAAAGAGGGAAAACTTGACTTTTTGTTTATGGATTTTACTAATATTTCTAGGTAATTGCGTACTTTTGAGGAACTTAAACATACCTGAATTTTTATCCAGCTGTGTTTGGCTCATCTTTCAGGCTGTTGTCTTCAGAAGCAGTTGCTTTCAATATACTAGGCTTTATTTTGGCAGATACAGTGTTACAGTTTGTTTGAGAAACATGGAGTGGTAATGTGCAAATTACCTCCTGAGTTTTTGGCAGAGAGTGCAGCAGACAATATTGCTCAGAAATAGCATGGGGCTGCCTGTATGACCCAGTTATTTTTAGGGGACATGTGGAAGTTTCAGTGCCAGCATTGCCAGAGGAGGTCAAGGAAGGTGATCCTGCCCTCTACTGAGCCGTGGAGAGGCCACTCTTGGAGTGTTGCAGTTCTTGGCTCCTCAGTACTGGAGACATGGAGATCCTGGAGCCGGTCCAGCACAGAGCTACCAAGTTCTTTCAAGGGTCTGGAGAATCTCTCTTACAAGGATGGGCTGAGGGAGCTGGGCCCGTGTAGCCCCCAGGAAAGGTGGCTGGGAGGGGACCTCAGCAATGTGTAAATGTCTGAAGGGAGGTGCCAGGGCATGGAGCCAGGCTCTTTCTCAGCGGTTCTGAGCAATTCAACAAGAGGCAACAGGCAGAAACTGATGCTCAGGAAGTTCTGCCTGAGCTGAGGGAGAACTTCTCTGTGGGTACAGGCTGCCCAGAGAGCCTGTGGAGCCTTCCTCAGTGGAGATATTCCAGAACTGTCTGGACAATTCTGTGCTATGTGCTCTGGGATGATCCTACTTGAACAGGGAGGCTGGACCAGATGTTTTTTTTGATAAAAACTAACGCTTGATAGCTTTTGTCAGCAGTTTGTCTCTTTCTAGAAATGTACGTGGATGACACGAGCTGCGTTCCTTCCCGCTCTGCGGAGCCGTAGCGGTGCCCGCGGCCCTCAGGCCCCTGGGGACTACAGCTCCCGGCGTGCGCCGCGGGGCCGGGGCCGGGAGCGGCCCGGAGCTGCTCCGGCCGCGGCGATGCCGGTGTGGCTGCGGGAGCACAGCTGGCGCCAGAGCCTCAGCGCCGTGTACCTCTCGCTGCCCTTGCGCGGCACCCGGGCCACCGCCGCCAACATCTTCTGCAGCGAGCAGTACCTGAAGGTGGGAGCCGCTCGCCTCACGGGCCTCCTGCCGCGCCCGGCCGCGGGGTGACTCCGGAAACCTGCTCAGAAGCACGCGTGCCGTGCACCATGGCAACTCTTCAGATTCAGAACCCTTTATCTTTTATCATCTCTTTATGGCAGAACCCTTTATCTTTTATCATCTCCCTCTGTCTGCTGCGGGCTGTTAAAAGCCCGTCCTGCAGCAGATCATGGCTTTAGCACTGCTCATTCCCTACTAATGCTCTTACCACTCAACAGGTGCCACTGCCTTTACTCTCATACCTGGACTGAATTTATACATTTGCTTATACTGTGGATAATCCTAAATTTGAAATCCATGGCTTCTGTTGCAGTGCTGAAGAACAGACTTTTAAAATCTTTACCTTGTGACGACCCACCCTTAACGGGAAGGAAGCACCTTCTCTGGGCTTCTACAAACCTCCACAGTAGTTACAAAGCAAATTACTTCTGTCAATAGTATCTGTTTCTTGAGGTTTACTGTATGCTTGTGCTCTGCTTTGAATATGTGAGAGTTAATTGAAAACAGTAAATATTAGCACAAATTATGTTTTTGTAGGTAAGCATCCCTCCGTTTTTGTTTGAAGCCGTTTTATATGCTCCTATTGATGACACAAACAGCACAGCAAAGATTGGAAATGGAAACATTTCCTTCACTTTGTATAAAAAAGAACCAGCCATGTGGGATTCCCTAACTCTAGAAAATGGTAAGTTTTCTACTCAGAAAACTAGATTCTGTGTAAGGAAACCATACTGAGACACTTCTGCTAGTAGATATCTGCTCAGTTCAGCCTTGTTCATTATTAAAAATAGAAAGTATGTGAGAACAAAGAATATCTACTAGTTCTAGTGTGTGTGAAATAAAACAATATTTCTTGTGCAACTTTTTGTGTTTAAAACATTTTGTGTTTAAGTAAATCTTAATTTTTCTCTTTTAGAGATGGGCTTGGTTGACCCTGGTTTGTCAAATTGTAATTGTGTTGTATTTTGCCAAAGTAGCAGAAGAAATAATTTTCATTAACATGTTATATACCAATAGAACATCAGGCCTCAATGACTAAGATAGTTTATTTTTTTAAGCTGACAAGGAGAAACTACAACATCTGAGAGAGAATGCTGTTCTAAAAGCCCAAGAAAAGGCAAAAGAGGAGACAGAAGCAAAAAAAATTACAAAACAGGAAAACAAAAAATATGCTTTGGAGGCCACAATGAAGGTAGGTTCAGAAGAAGCTCTGCAAGACATTCATGTAAACAGCTACCAACTAATCTGGCAGATGCTTTGTTAAATGTATGTTAAAGAATATGAAAAGTTCCAATTTTTATTGTAGTGGTGGTGAACTTTATTATTATTTCTCTGCATTTAAACCTATTTATTACCAAATATGAAAATGTTACTGACAAAATGCTTACAAGTTGCCACTTTCTGTGAGTAATACTAATGAAAGCTTTTGGTGACAAGCTCAGATTTATGTCTGTTCAAAGGAGACTACAGTCATGCAGCAAAACTCTAGTCTTTTGTGGCCTTTGCAGGTGTTTAGTCCTTTAGCACTGTGAAAAAATACTGATTTTAAAAATTCTCACTCTTTGTTGTATTTTATATCACACTTGGTTTTTTTTTTTTGTCTTTTTTGTGTTTGTGTCTTTGTTATTCTGCTTTTTATGTATATTTTAAGATATGTTAAAATTTGTATGTATATAAAAAGTCTGGTCCCTTCATTTGTGTTCAAAGGATTTTTTTTGGAGCATGCAATGAAATTTTAAGAGTGCATATGCAATATTGACCAGAAAGAGCTACAGTTAGTGACTTAGTAGAAATGTTGTACCTTTTCTAGATATGTAATAATCTCAAAGAGGAGAAATAAGAAACTGTGTGTTCACATCACATATATTTTACATTTCTGTATTTTCCAGAGATCTACATTGGAACATGGCTAGGATTTTCACTGTTTAAAACTTATTTCTGAATGTTTCTGGATTGTACCTTAGGGTTATTAGTAAAATAGTTTAAAGATGAGACCTCTAAAAGCTGATCAGAAATCTTTACTCTCCCAGGCATTTTCAAGCATCTTAATTAATTCTGCTAGTATGGTCACATTATTGGTTACACTATGCTTGGGATATGGAACTGAGAAAATAATGGTATCTTTAACTTAGTCAAGTCAGTATTATCAGATGTTCTGTATCTCATAGGGTTTTTTTTGTTCAAATAGCTAGAGGAAGCAGAAAGAAAAAGAATTGAAGATCTAAAAGAAAAGGAGCGGCAGAAGGTCACTAAAGAGTTGGAGTTATGGAAAAACCAGCAAAAAGATGGTGATAAATACAAGAGCATACAAGCAAAAGAGGAATTACATCAAGAAAAAGAGCCATTAAAAGAGAGAAAAAATGAAAAAATGAACAAATCTCAGATTCCTAATGAAGGAAGTTCTAAGACAAGACTCAGATCCACAAGAGGTTGTATAATTGAACTGTACTTTGTAATTCTTTAAAGTGTGGATATAACTTTATTCCCAGATGTTTCTAATTCTTCACTTATCTTTGTCTCCACCATACTGAACCAGTTCTTTTAGCTCATGGTTATTTTAAAATTGTTGTTTTCAGACAATTTATTGAGCTGAAGCACATGAGTTCTTAGCTCTAGATGAAGTCTTTGGAAATACAAGGGTGGGTTTTGTTCTAAGCTTTAGAAAAGTAAATCAGAGAGCCTTTCTGGCAGTGTAATGCAGACTTCCTGGGGGTGGGGTTTCTGTTGCCCAAAGTTACCCAACTACTGGATTTCATGGAATATTCAATCTCCTTTTGTGCTCTCTGTCCTGTGTCTTGGATCCATGGAGAACCAATTCAGGGAGCTAAACCAGCAGAAGACATTTAATTGGTGTTTGTTTGATTTGATAGGTTAGTTTTAGCTCTTATTGTTGCCCTGTCACAGCATCATACAAGCAACAAAGAGAGAGGTGTAAGAGGAGTTTAAGTTCATTTGTGACAGATGCTGTGTAATTCCATTTATTTACTTGCTACATTAGGAAGAAGAAGAAAAATTGTTTGAACGTTCCCTTCAGAAGATCAAGTCTAAGCTTTTCTCAAGCAATTAGAGGTTTAATTCTAGTGTGTCACATTTCTAAGGCAGGTGTACTTTGGACTTTAGTAGAAAACCAGAAAAATCTCTTACTTCATTTTTCATTTCCAGTGCTCTAACTCTTTTCATAGGTGGTGGTTCCTGTAGTATATTTTCACAGGATTTAAAGGAAGAACAGTTACCAGCTCCCCGAGCTGCTGCTACAATTAAAGTCAACTTTACACCACGAGTTTTTCCCACAGCTCTGCGAGAATCTCGTGTTGCAGAGGAGGAGGAGGTAAGGTGGGGAATTAATTATTGTGTATTCAGTTAATACAAAAATAGTGTCTGTGCCAAGGGATGTTACCTGTGCAATTATCCTCATCTTCTAAGGAAGGCAGTCTTATTTAAATTAAGAGATAAAAAAACCAATTTTATACAAAAATTCTTTTCACCCTGTTGTGCAGATTAATAAATAACATGTTCCTTTTTAAATTTTAATTCCTTGAAGTACAAAATTTGAAGTGTTCTGACTCTTATATTTAAGATTCTTTCAGTTCTGTCTCAAAAGAAGCTCACACCTCTTTTGAGCTCGATTCAATGAACACAAAGTAATTTTGAAAGATCAAAACAGACAAGTAAACAAAAAATGTATTAGAGATGTGGTAACCTGACTTCTCATGGTAATAAAATATTTGGGGAAACTTTGAAGTTTTTCATATTGGACACTATCAAATATTTTCCTGTGTCTGAAATACATGGTCAATAGAATTCTTTTGATAAGTATGAGTGAAGAGATGAAAATAAAATCCTTTTTTGGATTTGAATTTTTGCTTCAGAAACAATACTAGCACATTTTTTGTCTACAGTGGCTGCATAAACAAGCAGAAGCTCGAAGAATAATAAATTCTGATTTATCTGAGCTGGAAGATTTAAAGGAAGAGGAGAAGAATCCAGATTGGTTAAAGGACAAAGGAAAGTAAGTTACATTCCAATTGAAAATGTATTAAAAATGAAATAGTTCTATGGTGTTTGTCTACTGTTCAGTTTTGGTATATTTTATTGATTGTAGACAGAGTTGGTGAATGTCTAGAGTAGTCATGGTAGTCGTACTAGAGATTTTATTGACAGCTTAAGGGGTTAGAATCTGATAGAATGAGATGCAATTGTTGAAGCTCATGATGAACAAAATCATTATAAACACATTATGTATATCCTTCTTTGAAGAAAGTTGAGGCAGTGCACTATTATACCTAAGTGAATTTAATTTCATTTGTACTTTTTTAGTGAGATGTTAAACATCTATGTAAAATAAACCAGGGACTTTATACAAATACTGGTTTATTTATATAGGTGTGTTATACAGAAAGCTTTGATTAGGCAATCATAATCAGATATACAAAGCTTTCAAAATGAGTCCTGTGTTTACATAAATGTGTCCACTCTTACAATCCTTCATTGCTTGTAAGCAGTGACTATTTTTGTTGTGGTATCTCTAAGCTATATTGTCAGCAGCAAGGTGCACTGAACTTCAGCTTTGTTCTCAGAAAAGACTATAAAGGGACATTTCAAAGGAGAAGATGCTAAAACCTAAAATTTTTGAAAATGAGTTAACAATAACTAGGTGTTTATTTTTTATTTATCCCCTTCTTTAAACTGCATGTTTCATTTTTTTAACGCTTAGCAAAATGTTTGCAATGGGAGACTACCTTGGGGCTGTAAACGCCTATAACCTTGCAGTGAGGCTGAACAACAAACTCCCCCTGCTGTACCTGAACCGTGCTGCTTGCCACCTTAAACTGAGAAATTTGCACAAAGCTATTGAAGATTCCTCCAAGGTATAAAAATCCAGGAGCTCAGGCTCTTTTGCATTAATGTGATTTGTTACTGTGATGGTTCTGTTTTAAGCAGATCTGTAAATACATGTTAGTGCAATTCAAAGTTTTAGAATTAAAAATTGATATAATAAAGCCATGGTGAAATATTAAAATTTGATACTGATGAATGAACTTTCAGAAATTTAAAACAAAACAACAATAAAATAAACCCTAAACCAGGCTTCCACACATTTGTGACAAATGGCATATATTGGCCAGTATGTTTCATTACAGATAAAAATATTGTAGCAATATGTACACTTGAAAAAGCCCACGACTTGGAGCAGAGGAAAACAAAACCAAAGTAAACTCATATAGTTTCTATTATGTTGTGATGTGCTTCATTTGGTTGGAAAGAAAAAAAAATGGTGGTGATGAGCAGGATACCTTAAAAAACTTCTAACAAACCAAACATTTTTAAACAAGGGCTGTATTGTCCTGATGTTTTAGCAGCTGTTATTTGTGCCACAAGAGGAATGATCTCAAATGGCACCTGAATAATGTGGGAAAATTTTCCAAGAATTATTATTTTTTGAACTAATAAGTACTTGAGTCTTGAAACTTGGGGGTTTTTGGTCTTGCTTTTTCTAGTAACTGCTACTAAAACACATGTGCTTTTATAGTGCTACTTTTTTTCTTTTTCTTTTGATAGCATGATAGGCTATATGATGTATGAAAACAGAACACATTATTTAACTGCAATAAACATTTAACATGGCATTTGTCAGTTTTTGGCCATGGTAATGTAACTGTAGGTGGCAAACTGGGGGTGATGGACACAAATCTTAATGACTAGAGTCACAAGCCATTTATATTAAATTTGAATAGCTATTTTCTATTTCTGTTTGAATAGTTCCTATGTTACTGTACAATAATAGTAATTAGGTGAGAGAAGTGTTCATAAATTAAAAAAACCCCAAATTATGGAAAAAACCTACTTATAACTACAGTGGGTGTTGTCATTTGTGAAGGCTCTGGAGCTGTTGACCCCACCTGTTCCTGACAATGAGAACGCTCGATTGAAAGCCCACGTGAGACGTGGAACAGCGTTTTGTCAGCTGGAATTGTACCCTGAAGGTGAGGCCTTGGCTTGCACAGGAATTTATAGTGACATGCAAGTAACTCTGTTTAGCTCACACCTTCATGTTTTGAGAAGTGATTTGAAGGAGGTCTGTATAATCTATGTCTATTTGTTATGAACCTTTATACCACATTCTTTAATTTTTTTTAAATTTACTGGATACTTGAAAAATCTTTCCAAGTTTGAGTAAATGGATTGCGTTCCTAATTTAAGGAGTTTTTCCATTGATGATATTAAAATAACCTGAAATATTTCTAAAATACTTGTGAAGTGCTTAGTAACATCTTTGTAAAATGAGGTAGGAAGCCCATATTAATGAGTGAAATGATTCATCAAGTACATGTGATTTGTGTGAAAATAACTGAATTTACAGTGTCCCTATTCAGTTCCTCAAGAGTATCAGATCAGTTTTGTAAAGCAGTTTTACAAGTGAAAGCTGATAATAGAAATTGAAGAATATTCAAAATGTCAGTGTTGAAGGACTAAGCTTTGGCCATTGTTTACCTTTTTCTGCAGGCCTCACTTGATTATTCCCTTACAGCTTCATTTGCACTTTGAAACCTTATAAAAAAGACTAATGTGGGCAAGATTTTACTTTCTGTACTCAGGATTTGGTTTTTTCCCCACAAGCTCTAGTTTTCACAGTTCATGTCTTTTTTGTTCATATTTTCACAAAGGATCATTTCCTCTCTTCTGCAGAACACTTTAGAACAGTCCCTTCATGCACACACACATATATAGGTGTGTATGCACATGAATGAAGAGGCTCTATTTTCATGTTTCAAAACCTGAAAATATTTATGTGGTAGAGTGTTTCCACTAAAATTATTTTGTAAAATAAGATAAACAAAATATAAGTTTATTTACTGATGGAAGCTAAACTAATGTCATTCTGATGCCATCTTACTTAAGGACAAACCTCAAGATCAATACTTTATGCATATGATTGGGGAGTAGTTATTTCCAGTTAGTTGCTAAAGAGGATGCTCTTGCATTATTGATTGATATTGTTAATGTGTCTATATTAGGCCTCCAGGATTATGAAGCAGCTCTCAAGATTGATCCTAAAAATAAAATTATAGAAAAAGATGCTGAGAAGATTCGACAACTAATTCAAGGAACAATGCAAAGTTCTTAATTAAAAAAAGTATAAAAAAGAAACTTTGATGCCTTTGAGGACATCAGAAGGAATCTTATTTCTCTTCAGTGTGTGTTACCTAGACATTTTTCTGCTTCACCTGGAACACTTACAAATTTGGTAAAAGATTGGATATATTATTGGAAACGATAGTATTTTAAACATGATTGGATACATTTTATATAATTTTGATACAAAGTTGTTGTAATTTTACTTTTTGTCATCATTCTGTATTACTCTGACAATTTGAAACCCTGGACTTGAAGTGGTTCCTTTTTGTTAAATGTTCTTTCCAGACTGGGGCCATTTCAACTACACTCCTTTCACTTAGCAGCTTTAGCAGACTTCTGAATTTTCTGCATCAGTCTCTTTCCTGAATACCATTTTTGACTGATTTCTGTCTCTATAATAAAGTATTTATCATGCAGATATATATTATTGTGTGCAAATTTTACAGTGTTGTATCAGGGAGAAGGTGGCAGGTATTGTTCCCAGCTGTTTTACTTAGAGCCTTGAGAGGAGTTCTGAGGTGAGTCAGAAGTATCTGGTAGGAAAGCTGCTGCCTCTGCTTTCCTACAGAAAACTGCTGCATTGCACTGCAAGGGGCCAAAACCACTTTCAGAACAGCTGGAAGGAGGGCAGTGCAGCAGTTTGAGTGCCTCTATTGACTGTAATGCTATACTTACAGATATTGCTGTTTTCTTTTTATAATTACTGAGGGGAAGTGAGGGCTAAGGAGCAGAGACAGGAGAACAACAGGAGAAAGATCAACTTAGTCAGCCCTTCAGCTAACAGGGCAAAGCATTTCAAATTTGTCAACTGTTTTTGGTCAGAGCAAACATTGCTGAAGATGTGTATTGAAATACATGCATGGTGGAGAGTGAGGAACTTAACATTTTGACCTTATTTAGTAAACTGTGGACAGTGGTAATTTGACTCATAATGACTATGGAAGATAGTAATATTTGAGATTGATGTAAATTTTTGCATTAGTGATAATCTTGAGCATAGAAAATATCTTAATATGTGTGGCAGAAATAGTTAGTATGGATAATAAAATATGAATGGGAGTAAGAATAGAGTGAGACTGTGGGTAATATAATTTAGTTCGGACCTTTTTTTCTAAGATACAGAAATATGAAAAATAGAGCCCTGGAGAAATTTACAAGTGATTGTGCTTCCTCACTCATGTTCACATGCCAGTATTTTTAATATTTTTATTTTTTTCCCCAGTAGGGTGTGAGTTATCATATGACAAATACTTTTTTATCTGTTTATGGAAACTGCTGTAGTGCTGTATTGATGAGCCTGCCACAAAACTTCTCTGAGTGAGGTACCTCCCTTAGTGCTGCTGAGCAAGCCAGTTACAACCTGCTGCTTCTCAGAGGGGCAGTGAAAGCTTTTTGTTTGTCTCTCAGTCATGTAAGACATGAAGCTGACACTGAACTTGCTGTCGTAGATAAGCAAGATTAAGATTAATATCTTGATTAAGATTAATATCTTGATTAAGATTAATGTCTTGATTAAGGCATCGCCTTTATTAATGAGGCCTGCTGTTGTCAATCTCCCATTTATTTTTTCTTCCAGGATCAGAGCACTGTTGGGGCCTAAACCTCTGGGATTTTGGATGATCTGCTCTGTTTGTACAGTGCCTGTTGATGAGATGTGCTCTAGGAACATGGGTGGGAGTTAAGAACTGCCTTATCCCCAGTCTGAGTGGCTCTTGGGACCAGTATCTCCTGAAGCAGCAGGGCCTGTGCTTCGAGGAATCTTTCCAAATTAGTTAATTCCCAGTCACCAGAGTTATTCTACCTGAGGCTAGAAGAATCAAAGATTTGTTGTCCATATACAGCACCTTTGGGTTTTGGTGTTTTTTTTTTTTTTTTTTTTTTTTTTTTTTTTTTTTTTTTACTGTTTTTTCGTTTTGTTTTTTTTTTCCGGGGGTGGGGGGAGTGGCATGTTCTGGGGTGTTCGTTTGCTTGTTTTTTTGGGGGGCGAGGGTGTGGGTGGTTGTTTGTTTTTTCCTTTCCCCTCAGTACGAGCGTTCCTGGCATGTACCGGAGCGCGTCTCCTCAGAGCTGGCTGTCCCTGAGCCCGGCTCTGCCGTGATCCCCCCGGCACAACGCTCCCCGCGCTGAAGGGGCCTCCGAGCAGCCCCGGCCCAGCACAAACGGCGCCGGGGCCGCGGGGCCCGCGCTCGGCGGCGCGGCGTTGCCATGGCGGTGCCCGGGTCGGGCCGCGGGGCGGGCCGGGCGCTGCGGTGCCGCTCTGGGCGCTGCGGTGCCCGGGCCGCTCTGGGCGCTGCGGCCGCCGGGCCGCGGCGGGGCGCGGACTACGCTCGCCAGGGTGCTGCGGGCGCCGCCCCGCGCGCAGGCGCCGGCCCGGGCGGGCCGGGTTGTTTGTGACGGCGTCACCGGCGGCTGCGGCCGCGGCCCCTCGTCCGTGCCGGGCCCCGCGAGGGCCGCGCTCAGGTAGGCGGCGGGACCGGCCCGCGGGGGCGGCCGCCCTGCCCCGGCCCGGCCGCGTGGAGCTCCGTGGGGCGCGGCGGCTGCCGCGGGGAGGGGCCGCCCGGAGCGGGGCAGAGTCCGGGGCGCCGGGGCCGGGCGGCCGTTCCTGCTGCGGGGAGCGGGTGAGCGGGGCCGCGCGGGGCCGCGGCGCTGCTCGGGGGGCGAGCGGGCTCCGGGCAGCGGTCACCGCCGTGCCGGCCCCGGCTCCGGGCGCTGGCGTTTGCCAACTTCCTTCTCTGCCATCGTCTGCCGCTGCCTCGGCGGCTGATGCAAGGTGCTCTGTTTCATAAACACTGTGCTTTAACTGCGCTGGCGCCGAGCCGCGCTCCGCTTCAGGTGCGCTCCAGGAACACCTGCGCCGTACTGGCGGTAGAGACTGAGCCGGGAATGCCCAGCCTTGCGGGAGTCTGGCTCTCCTTCATAACAAGGAAATATTCTATATTCGGTATGGGTTGCTAAATATATTCTAAGAGAAGAATGTTACTTATGGGAAGAAATTACCACTTAGTAGAAATAATGAACTTCCATGAGAACCCTGAAGTTTAATAGCACTGAACCTGTTTTTATTTCTGTTGTGCAACAAAGAATCGACTGTAGAAGAGAACTGAGAGTTTTTACTTGGAATGACAGCACGGCAAACTCTGTAGAACACATTCATATTCCTCTTGGTGCCCATTACTCATCTTTGTCAATGCTTATTGAAGGTTATTTTTTAGTTTAGGAAATCCTTTTTTTAGATGATTGAGCTTAAGGGTTTATTTAGACTGGAGTGGTCCTGTTTAAGGCTGGTATTTATTTTGCTTTACGGTAAATAAATAGGATGTGGTATCTCAGATTAATTTTTATATACATATCTGGGATAACTTGGTATTGTGTTATCAACAATACATATGGTTGTAAGTTTTTCCACCTTATACTTCTGGTTTATATTTCACTAAGGATAGGAAAATAGTTAATGCTTCTGAGTTCCTGCCCCCATTCCCCAAATACATACAAATTGCACTCTGAGTATAATGGATATTTAATTTGTCCAGACAGAAATTAAGAAGGTGATGCCAAAAGTGGCAATGAAGATACATAGTGAACATACAAAACCAGGGCACCACGGGATTGGCTTTGGTTGGGTTTTTTCCCCAGTCTTTCCTTCTGGCTTGGCCTGGCATACAAGAGACCTGTACCACCCTAGTGTATCCTCCAGTTATCCCTGGTGTCCTGGGCTAGTACCCATTAGTGTCATCTTGATTCACTGGGAAGTTTGAAGGCTTTATGTCTTTTTAATTCCTGCTCAAAGCTATTTTTTTAAAAGTTGCTTTCAGGAAGACAGTGGTAGCATTTCCAGCCCCTTTAGGCTGGCTGGAGAAGCATATTGGTTCTTAGTGGGTCATTGTCATTTGCTGGAGAATCAAACTGGAGAAGATTTTGTGAGTGGGCCAATTTAGCCATTGTGTTCAAATTAGTCTTCTGTTTTTCAGTGTACTTAAGGGATTGAATTTGACCTTGGATTGAGTTATCATGTGCATTTTATTAATCTGTTACAGAAATAAGCTGTTTAGCTGATGATTGAAGTTTAGGAACACTGTACCAAGGTAATTTTTTTATTAAAGCTTGTAGGTCTTTTTGATCTTTTAGATCTGAGTAATAAAGTGTTTTAATTTTGGTAACCGTATGTATGTTTGCTGAATATACCTGTAGGAATGCTTTTACCCTAGAGATGCTCTTCAGTCTGATACCAAGCTATCTATCTATCTATTATAATTTGGCTAAATTTAGCAGTTCTAACCATAAACCTTAGTGTTCTTCTGCTTATTCTTTTTTCAAAATTCCATTATTTTTCTTAATATTAAAATATTTAATATTTAAAATATTAATTAAAATACTAATATAAAAATTTTCTGTTTTGGTGGCTTGTCACCTGTGTGCAGGCAAACACACACTATTAGTGTAGTGTTCTGGTTGAATACAAATAAATAACTTCTAATTCAAGGCCATTTATCAAGACAAGCGAGCAATAGGAAATGATGATTGTTTGCTTATTTCTCTGTTTGTTTATTTAATATATTTTGGTGATGTTGGTACCCAGGGAGGTCCTGAAACTTTAGTTTGGGATGGGAAGACAGGTGTTTATGTGGAGCCCAAAGCCATGGTTGCATGTTGAGAAGAGAAGATAGCTTTGTGTTTCTGCAGTTACCTGTCAGTGTGTTTTTGGCAGCACAGGGAGAGCAGGATGGTGTCTGTGTTGTGTTCACCAGGCCCAGGGTGAAATGCTGGGTTAGCTGGAGGAAGAGAGATGTTGCAATGTCCAGCACAGAGTCTGCTGTGACAATTTGGGATTTCAAAATCTGTAGATGCACTGGTATCAAACTGTCCTGGTGCCCTGAGGTTGTCTTTTAAGAATTCAGATTTTGCAAGGCAGCCAGTGATACTTCTGCCAGGTGATGAGTTCTGGTGCTGGGAGTTCCCTTCCTGTGAAAGGAATGCTGCTGCTGCTGGACGCCCAGTCAAATTTAGAGTAATTAATGACAGCAAGCAGATGTCGTTGTCACATGTCACATGTCAACTCCAGAACTTAGTCTTTGCCATTTGGGCATTTGTTATTTTGATGATTGAAGAAGTATGATTTAAAAATAAATCACAATTAAAAAAAAAATTAAATTATCCTTTTATGCAGTGTGATTTAAAAAAAACCCAAACAACTCAAACCAAAATAGATTTCTTCCCACCCCCTCCCAACCTGACATACCCTGCTTGAGATTCCAGGAAAAGCACTAATGGAGGAAGAAAAATAGCTACAGGAAAATGACAACCATATTCAAAGTAGGGCTTTATAAAAAACCAGAAATTCAGTTTCTCTCTAAGTTTCATACCTAAGTTAATTGTTAGTAATATTTTTGCTTAAACTGTTGTTGTGATTGTCACCATTACCTTT